CCTAATAGGATTTTACTTCTTATTATTTGTTAGCTATCCTGAGATGTTTTGCACTACGGACAGTTATTTTTTCCAGAATTTTGTATCCCTTTTGTAACTTTTGTCACTTGTGCTGCGTAACTGGTGCTTTATTTTGCTTTTTACTTGGCCAATTTTGCCTCCATGGACTCTAGATCCCTGACAAAGAAAATAAAATTTAGCTTCTGTGTTTTCTACCCTCGTCCCTAGTCAATGTTGTAAACACAATGAAGACAAATTTTTGCACTGAAAACAAGGAAATATATCATCGATTCATTAAATTTATTGGTCCAGCATATTTGAATTTTTACAGTATATGCCCATTCTGAAAACTATAATAAAAAATCTATACATGTAAGCCTTTTTATCAATTTTTTTTTTTGGTACAACTATCATTGTTCATATTTTTTTTTTTTTTGACTTGGAAGTGATGATCTGTTATCATTTTGCACTGCAACAATGACCTGGGAGGAATTGAAAAGAGAAAGCTGGAATTGGTTCGTCAATATCAATTCACAAACATGGGAGCCTTAATTTATATATGGCATTTAAAGTGAGATGCTCTGTTTAAGAAAAAAAATAAATCTAGCACTATCTCCCCTAGTTTTTGTCACTCCACCATTCCACTATCCTCTGCATTAGAGGTTAGCGAATATACTTTCTCTATGACTTAGTTTTATTTTCTTTTCACTTACTCACACATGAAAAGCTTATGCTATCTCTGAGTTAGTTAAGCTTTTGGACTCGTGATTCATGAGTAGCCGATTTCGGGGTCTCCTCAAATCCCTTTGCAAATGGATGTAACCGAAATGGACTTGTGATTCATTAGCAACCGATCTTAGGCACCTTTTGAGTCTTGGTGAGTCTTCAACCAAGTTTATATATATATATATAATATATATATATATATATATTACTGAGCGCAGCGTAACTTTGCTCTCTTCTATGTATTGCATTTTGTAGGCCTAAATGAGCAAGCCTCAATGGTGGCATGTGAGAATGTATAGATCCAAAAGCATCTATCCTTCCTTGTCTCAATATGGACATCTTTATCAGCCGATATGCAGCTTCCAATATCAATTGTTTAGTTATGGAAGGACTTTCAAAAGTCATCTTTGGCGAGTGGAAGACGGTGGCCCTATGCCTCATTCCTTCTATTATCTATTCACAGTAACATTCAATTCGCTATGAGTCTAGCTATATTGCACAGAATGATTATGGCCAAAAGATAGGAAAAATATGTTTCAATTATTTATTGATTTTATTGTGACAAGGAATGGCCTTTTTTTCTGTCAGTATATATGAATTACTTTATTTGAGTAATAAATGTACATTGCTTTTAATGTTATTGTTCATGAATGAAATTAAATCTTCAAAGAGAAGATATGTGATTGCAATGATATTTGGGGTGCGTGTATTATAACATATAAATTTATATTAGACTTTTCAAGGTTTGAACAAATTTTTATATGACTTATATACTCATTCCTTCATAGTTCTTGTTCTCATATTACTCTCAACATATTGCAAATAAGCTTTTCCACCATTTACAAATTGTGCTCTTATAAGAAAGAAACATAATAGATGCTTCCAAAATATGTTGGTAGTATTTAATGTCAGCTTACACCATACACTTGTTATTGACAACCAAACTAATTATATTGACAACTATTGGAGCATCTATTAACAACTAAGGTTAATATGCACCACACCCTTATCATTAACAACTAAACTAACAATAATAACTAATATTGTGGTATGTACTAATAACTAATGTCAATCTGCACAACATACTTGTCACTAACAACTAAACAAATTATATTAACCACTATCGTGACATGTATTAATGTCCACCTACATTACACATCTGTCATTGATAACTAAACTAGTTATATTAACAATTATCATGGCATATATTAATAACTAATATCCACTATTGCATTGTACATTTGTCATTGACAATCAATCTAGTTATAATAACAAATATTCACATTTAATAACTAATATCTACTTGCCCCTCACACTTGTCATTGGCAACTACACTAGTTCTATTAACGACTATCGCAACATTTATTAACAACTCATATCCACATGTTCCTCATACTTATCACTGACAACTATACTAGTTCTATTCATAATTATCATGACATGTATTAACAATTAATATTCACCTGCACCTCATACTCGTCATTGACAACTTAACCAGTTATATTAACAACTATCTCTGCATGTATTAACAACTAAATTAATCAATGAGGGTAACTTCATAATTTCATAATTAAATTCTCTTATCCACCAGTCTCTTGAGACTTCAAATTTATTTCATGATTTTATGGGACCTTATAATATATGGCATTAGAAATTATGGTCAATGAGCTTTGTAATGATATATCATTTGCCTAATTAGTATTTAAATGAAGAAAGATATGTCCACTTAAAATTGATTTTTAAATTGATTTTGTTTATAGGGAAAATTGCATTCAAGTCCCAAGTAAAAGAAATAAGATCTATTCAAAAACCTTTTTATTTTTAAAGTTATGCTCGGTGAAATTTAAGTTTTAATATAATAAGAAAGGGATCAAAACATTCGAATTTGATGCATTAAATTTGAATTTTCCCACATCAAATTTGAATTTGGTCAAGGAATTCGAATTTTCTTATCTTTCATTCAAATTTACTTAAACAAATTTGCATTTTAGGCAGCAAAGAAATTGATTATCACATGAGTAAATTCGCATTTCATGCAGCAAATTGAAACATAATCTCACCAAATTTGAATTTGCTCCGCCAAATTTGAATTTGCTCATTTTCTTGTCATAGTTAAAACTTAACTTTCATTAAGAATAACTTTCTCAATTTAAGTTCAAGTTGGACAAATAGAAAGCTCTTTGAGTATACTTTTTAATAAAATAAGACCCATTTAAAAAATTTTTATATTCTTAAATTTATGATTAAAAGAGTGAGTAAAGGTTAGAAGCTTTTTTCTTGTTTAACAATATAGAAAGGATGAAGAAACTTATTCTCTATTTATCTCTGTTTCTTTGAACTGAAAACAAAGCAAATCAAAAGAAGATAAGCATATATGGTAGAATAAGTTCTTTTGCTTGGTGTGAAAGTTTATTTTTAATCCATATAAACAGTGAAAGAGATAGATAAAAGCCATCAAAGCTTTTAAGTTTTGATTCAATTTGATAGGGCTGAAGAAGACCTCATCCTCTGTGAAAGCGTGGGCCGATCTATTGAGCTTGCGCACTGCATCTCACAACAACTTCGACTTCCACAGCCTCTCTGATTTCTCATTCACGAGTCCCACTAAAAATTCTAACAATAAATCAAATCATCAATTCTATATTAATTTTTCCGCATCGATCTGAAAAATCATTTCCCCCATCCTCACTTTTGTTTCAGCTATAGCTCACGGCTTTATTCCCTCACTCATACTGCCCTGTCTAGCACGAGAAGACCAGAGGCGAGAATGATCTGAGTTGTTATGGGTATATTTGCCTTTTGAATTTTTCCACCTACGACTGAAGATCGATTCCCACCAAAAAAGGTGGGAAGCGCGCTTCCAAGGTATAAGAGAAAATTCAGTACCACTGGAAATTAGTTGCCCAAAAAATCTTGCTGCCAAACGCATTCGACCAATTGAAAATTGGGATTTTCTTTCTTTTCTCAGATTTTCAGGGTACCAAACATGCTCTTAGTGACATTCATCATCTTGTGCTTCCTGTCGTCAACATAGTACTGCAAGTGAGCTCGCATGTGAAATTTTTTAGTAGATCTGATGTGAAAAAGGAAAAAAAAAGAAAATCAAATTAAGGCAAATACTAGATGTTTGACTTCATTTATTATTTAATTATAAGAAAAAATTCTCCTTCAAAAATTATTAATTTAATGGTATTAGAATCAAGTAATTAAAAGGTTTATGTTCCCATAAATTCCGTGTCAATAAATTAGAGTTAGTACAAAATATTATGTTATTCATTGTGAATTTTTTGCTCTTAGTATTTCAAAATTTTCCTAGATAAAATTTTTTATAAATAAATACTATATATGTTACCCAAAAAAAAACTTTGTAATGTCAAGTTTGTATGGTTTAGTTTTTTGTTTTTAGTATATTTTTATTTTGAATTATAAAAGGGAATTTTAGTCTTTTAATAACATTCACAAATTTCTAACAAGGCCTCTTGGCCTAATTATAAATTTCTTAACATGTGCAAGTGCTAATTTAAATTTTGATATTTAGTAGGATTCTCTCGTTAGTCATTCAATATAATTCTCCTATTATTTTCTCCTTTTTTAGGATAAATTTTATTAATCAACAGCTTTAAATTCTATATATTTGCTGCATTAAAAGTTAAGAAAATATAATAAGACATTATTAATAAATAAAACAATATTGTTTATAAGTTATGAACAATAAGGTTTTATTTAAGGAAATAAAAAAGGGAAAATTAGAGTGAAGGACCTAGGAAAAATAATTACGTTTTAGTATTTTTATATTTATATTTTTATATTTCGTTCTTCTAAATAATTACAGTATTTAAAATCTCTTCAATAAATACTACCTCAAGTATTTAATATGAGACCCAATTGATTAATTTAAAGTAATTGAGAAAATTACTAAATTACTTAATTATAGCATATGTTACATGATCTTTCTAAAATATTTATGTCTATCATTAGATTATATATCAATTTATGAGAGTGGCAAATTAGTTTGAAAAAAAATAATAAATATCAATATTTTAAGGTAATTTATTAACTTCCTTAATTTCTCTAGGTAGTATTAGTTTCTTTAGGTCCTTCTCTTTAATTTTTCCTAAAAACATAATAGTAATAATATTATATGATAAAATTCATAGAAAGTCACACTGGTTATAAGATATATGAGAAGTAAAATACAGTTACCTGTTTATGTAAATTAGGTAACCTCTTTTGCAACATAAAAGAAGGGAAATATAATGCACTAAATTTAATTATTAGGCAATTTGTGCTTTGGGTTTGATCAGCATTCTTATTTCCAAAATGATGACCACAAGAAGCAAGAAGCCAAGGCTTGCTCCATAACCAGCAAACCACTTTGATGCTTCGCCTGCCAAGTGAAGTCCATAGAAAGAGTTCACAATTGCAAATATCATCAAAATCCTTCCAACGTTGTGATGATAATAATTCCAGTATTTTCTTACTTTTGATTCTTTTCCTGGTCGCAATAAAATTGCTAAGACCTGCATGTGAAACAAAATCAATATATTAAACAAAATCACCATTATTATTGTATTTGTATCTACTGTACGTTGTCCATTCTTTTTTTTTGGGGTCAAAGACTGTACGTTGTCCATTCTGATGCTCATATATAAGGAAACATGTGTAATATTTTTAAAATGATTTGTTGAGAAATTTAAAAGTTAGAATCTTAACTAATTACCCAAGTTATAAATTTCAATTGTGTACATAAATATATGTTTGGCCCTAAATATTGGACTGATCATTCAGCTGGTTGAAACAATGATTCAAGAATTAACTTAATAGTCCAATTGTGGTCAAATCAATATGATTAAAATGATATAATTTAATTAAAATACATAAAAAAACATTCATATATAATCTTGTGAAGAGTAATATAAAAACCATTAATCCAGAAATGGAATATCTATGTATATAAACCACACATACTTCAAATTTACTAAAGTACCAATGTGACGGACTGCTACTTTTTTTATTTTTAAAACTCAAAATGACATCATTTTAGACTCCTCAATAAGAAAAATAACAAATATATAGCTAATCGACTTATCTAAAACACTTGATTTGATTGATAAAAGGACTGGTTTAGCTAGGTTCACTGGCGATACCATCCCATTTAGATAGGATTTTAACATTCCATCTACTCTAACAAACAAGTAAAAAGAGATGTGTTATATATATATATATGTGTGTGTGTGTGTGTGTGTATGTATAGAGAGAGAGAGAGAGAGAGAGAGAGACACCTGTAGGCAGCCAAGGACGAGAATGAGGAATCCTATATTCTTGTGATGAGTAACGTTGGAACTGACTTTCTTAGATAAAGCCAAACCACGTATGAATCCAGCTATTCCTGCCCCAAAGCCAAGTGTTTGGATCAAAGCGTGCAAGTAAAACCAGAGTGGGTCCCACTCCTTGCAGTGACGAGCAACTATGGCTCCTATCAACATAGCTAGGCTCCATCCTCCAATATTTAGCCATCCATGGCTTCTTTTTAGCTTTAGGTTTGAGATTACATTAGCTCTACCTGCAGTTTCAACACATACTCTCATCACACTCGTCATCATCATCAATATATATAATTAAAGAACTTAAGCCGTATTAATTAATAACACCTACTTCAATAATATTGGTGGGAAAAAAAACTCCTTAATTATGGTCCTATCAGCATTAGTGAGAGTCCGACATGATTTTCAGATATCAAGTGATTTCGTCAAAAGAGTATAGTTGTGCTTACTTTAACTAATGATCTTGGATTCTAGCTATATATACAATATTTGGGTTGAAAACTTGTTTGGGGAGTTTCGGAATCCTTATTTTCTATCCAACTTGATTAGTTGGAATCTTATTCAGGTTCTTACTTAAGATTGGGCTGTTTGATTTATGATCAAAAGAGTATTAACTAAGAAAAGGTCTATTGGATAAATATCATGCCTATTAACTTTGTGAATATGAAGAAGAATGAAAGGCCTTCCGCTTCTTTCCGTAACTTTCAATTAACTAATACCCCCGGTCCTTGACATAAGAGGCTAATTAAAAAATTAGATTTGGTTTTAAATATAATATTTCAATCTATTTTGTTTTTCATTTATCCTAAGATATCTTTATTGATTGTAAAATGTTTCCATCAAGAGGTGTTACACAGTGTACATAATTAAAGAAGATAGTTTAGGAAGACCAATATATATTTGTAACAAATAACTAATTTAACTAATTTTCTTTAAAAAGTTAGTTAAAGTTAGTTATTTCTTGTAAAATTTCAAAATTATCCACAATAAAAAATCATTAATTAAAGGAATTTGGGTAATTGATTGGAAAGTTATAGCTAATTAGGAATACTTAGTGAAAAAAATTAATACATTAAACAAAACATATATTCTTCTAATCCTAAATATAAAACTAGTGTAACTGACACTACCAAATGAGTCTTACATTTATAGTTGAATGAGTATTATATATGTTATGAAACATGCAGGAGATCAGTATGAAAAGCCTTACAAACCTGATGCGTAGTCTATGTCGATCGAAATCATATCAATGTGTTGGAGTAAGAGAAATTGGGTGCCGGTAGGGTAGAAATTCTGGGGTCCAAGTGCGAATAAGAGAAGTGAGGAAGGCTGGTTGGTTTGCAACTGGAAGGCTACATATACTATGGAAGTTGGAGTTGAAACAATGGACGCATTGGCATATAGAAGATTTCCTTTATCAGCAACCACCTCTGCTTGTGTCATGCCACCCAAATAATACTGTTTCACTCCATCGATGCCACCACCCGCCGGCATGTCCCACCCGACAATGGCGCTAGAACCCTCCATTCGCCCGTCGTCGGAGAACCCTATTGCTCCATAAGAGTTTATGTTTATGGGAAATGAGAGAACAAAGCTCCACAAGTTTGGTGAGACCTGAGCATACTGTTCAATAATACTCTCATATTAATATTATTAGACTTGAATTCACATCCTTTTAAGTGTGTGTATGGTGTAATCAACAATAAAAATAATTAGTACATATATGTGTGTGTGTGTGTGTGGATGAAGCTTCTAAAACTTCATGAAATCCTGTGCCAGGTGTTGGATATAGCACTATCAACAATTTCTTATCCAGGTTAACAATGAAAAAGAACAACTTAGATTGAGAGTTTTTTTTTTTTTTTAATCCCTGCTTAATAAAGTTGGTCAGTTGACTTAGATCACTTATTGGGAACATTTAACCCTTGTCATATTATAAGGCATCTCCAACCGCTTTACTAAAATCAAGAACAGAGAGTTAAGTTATTAAATTCGCTTGAAAATGAGAAAAAATTTAAATTTACGTCTTATTAAGAAACAAAAAGAAAAATTGTGTCAAAGTTTAAATAGAAACAATCTTGAAAAAAATACAATTAACACTTCATTAGATAACTTAATTATAATAAAAATCGCTCATTTAGTCTTTTTTTTTTTTATAAAGAAAGTGCCTTATAATAGGGATAGAAATAGTATAAAATTACTCTGTAGATCATATTATCTATCAATAAGTTCCATGTTAATAATGGTCAAACTCAAATAACATATATTGAATCAATCATTACTAAGGGCTTGTTTGGATGCGTGATTAATAAATGTGTGTATGGTGCAATCAACAAGAAAAATAATTTGTGTGTGTGTGTGTGTGTGTGTGTGAAGCTGCTAAAACTTCAGGAAATTGTGTGTCAAGTTGGTATATCTGTAAGTTGATGTAGCATTATATATGGACATTTTCTTATCTAGGTTAACCGTAGGAAAGAAGAACCAGATTTTTTTTTCTTTGCTTAATAAAGTTGGTCAGCTGATTTAGATTCACATCAAAGAACATTCAACCCTTTCGGTCCATATTATAACACATCTCCAATGACTTTATCATAAACAACAGAGTTAAATCATTAAATTTGTTTGAAAATGACAGGGAAAAAAAATCTAAATTTACCCCTTCGAAACAAAAAAGAAAAATTACTTCAAACTCTAAATAGGAACAATCTTAAAAAAAAATGATATTAATGCTTCATTAGATGACTTATGATAAGGACCGCTCATTCAGTAATTCTTTCTAACATAGATCAGACTGTCGATCAATAAGTTCCGTGTCAATAATGGCGAGGCTCAAACATATATTGAATCGATCATTACTAGATGAATCAACTTTTCATGGCCAAATCATTTAATAATTATGAGCTCATGAACTGGGCAAGAAAAAGTATATGTGCGTGTGTCTATATATATATAAATATATATATATGCACTTACTCTAAGGATGAAGTTATGATCTGGCCAAACAGCAACACAGCGAAGGGAAGTCGTATCAAAATCAATGTGCTGAGGATCTACATTTTGGGAACAAGAGTCGAGCTGGGATGTTACCAGAGTTGGTGAGCTACAGAAAACGATGAACAAGACGAAGTAAAGAAGAAGAAAGTGCTTCATCCCTGCTTTAATTTAATGAAATATAGCTAGTTGTGATCATTATAAATGTACACTTTAATTGACATTTATAGAATATGTTTTTTTGGCCATTTTAATTATGATCTTAGATGTTTACGTACGAGGTGCTTGGTATTGCCGTCAATGACACAGGATCCTCCATACACACACGCACACACCTAGCTAGCTACGTAAGAGGTGCATGCGACAGAAAAATGAGAAGAAGAATATCGACTTCTTGTCATCAAGTGTTTGCCTAATCGTCAAATGGAACCAATCAATGTGTCCGAATATGGTAAGATTCCTGGGAGATGTTTATGTTGTGCATATATATTATATTTTATTTTATTTCTGACTCAAGTATATGTTTGTTCCTTTAAATTTATCTTAAGTTTATTAAGTTTATCCAATTAAAATTTTTTTTTAAAAGTGTATTTTTTGTATTTTTACTCTTAACACTGTTACTTTTGTTTAACAAAAAATGTTAACTCAGCAAATTAAAAAGTGGCTCCACAATTAAATACTGACAAGTAGACTTTAAATTTTAATCCTTTAATATTATATTTATATTTCAAAATTTAAGCATTTAAATATAGAGTAAAATACTGTGAACTCTCTTGCACTTTGTCCTAATTATAAAGATCTCTATTCTATTTTAAAAATATACTCTTAAGTTCAAATCATTAATTACGTTAAGAATATTCTAAAAGGATACTTGTTTAATTAAAATTTATATTAAAATATTTTTTATTTACTAATATACCTTTCTTAATAGTTAATACTAAATCCCTAAATTTGGGCTAAAACATTTGAAGAATTTAAATTTTTTTCCTTTTCCTTAAGTTTATGTTTTGCAAATAGTTATTTGTTTAATCTTTTTATCATATTGGGATAGAAAATTAAGTAATTTAGTTTATGTAGACATAAAAGCCTTCAATGAAAATTTGATTAATTCTTTAAGTAAATATATAATTGATTAAATAAGTTATGAATGTTTCTAACAAAATTTTTATTTAAAAATTTTAAATTGTAAATTGAAATGATTTCTATAATCCCTCAAACTTAGATAATTTATATTATATGATAGAAAAATATGTACTCATTTTATTTTCTAGCCATTTAAAGAAACCTAAATAAATAAGTTTCATTTTATGTGATGAAGAATTAAAATTATAAAATTTTATAATATGATAAAAATTAATAAATTTGATTTAATTTTAAAAATTTTGAAAATAAATGTATTAATATTATTTTTGGTTATATCAAAATTTTTTTTGACAAATATAAATGTTTAAATATCTTTTATGTTAAGGAGTGATATTTTGGTCAAGAAAAATTTTAAAAGTCAAACTTAACAGTCAACTAACAGTTAGATAGATAGAAATAAAATCTCAAATATACAAAAGAGATTTGTGTAACATACATTTTAATTTCAAAGAAGATTTATATATATTTTCAAAATAGAAGAGAGGTTTCTGTAATTTAGATAAAACCAAGAGGTGGTTAATTTATTTTACTTTTAAATATACGATAAGTATTTAAAATACTCAAATATTAAAAATTTAATCATTTATAAAATTTATTATATTAAAGAATTAAAGTTTAGAGCATGCTTTCCCAGCATTTACTTGCAAAATCACCATTTAAATTTGCTTAGTTAACATTTTTTTTTCAATTGAGTTTAACAGCATTCAAAATATACCTTTTAAACTAAAACGATTAAAACAAAACTTGATGTAAACTTACTTTAACTTTTTTAAATTATCTATATTTAAGCATGTGATTAAGCTCAGGTCCTAAATATAAGAGCTAATAGAGGGATTTTCATTAGTCATAAACATAAGTGTCACACCCGAATCCTAATCATCCTCTAAAAAGGAAGGAAAGAGGAGTCACCACCAAAATTTTAAAAAGTTAATTTTGAAAACCTAAAAAATGTGATCTACGAAAACTGGATAGGGTTCGAGAGTCACTTATATGTGGGGAAGGTGTTAGGCACACCACAACATACGTTCAAGAGAATGGTTACCCTAAGTCAACTATTCAAAATTAATATGGCCTTTTTATTATATTTTAATCATCCTAAAAAAATTAAAAGAAAAAAAGAAAAAAATTTTATTTACAAAAAAGAAAAAAATAAATTATTTATAAAGTTGAACTTGACTTAAGATAAAAACCTAAAGCCTACATACCTTGATTACCCTCTAGAGGGACCAAAGCCCATGTAGTTCGGGAGATAAAAATACATGTTACTTGGTTTGTATTTTTTTTAGAAAATATTTATTCAATTAAAAAAAGATGTTTTTTATGGGTTGATATTTTTTTTAATATATGAGAAAAATTGTGTATTTTTATTTAGAAAATATTTTTTTGAAAGAAATTTTGGATTAACCTCCATGCGGAGGTTTCCATAACCTCACAGGGAAGAATAATCGTTTGAGCATGTAAAGGTTCTAAAAACCTCACATGGCTCTAAAAAATATTTTGAGATTATATACATATTTAAAAAGCGACTTTTTATTTTATTATTTATTCATAAACATGGGGCCAAAATTATTTTCTTTCTTTTTATTTCAAAAAGTAAATTTGCACAACCACATTGGTATTTCTGCAGAGACTCCTATAGTCTCATATGGTTTACCAATGAATCTAGATACCTATAAAGGTTCTGAAAACCTCACACAGTATAGATTTTAAAAAAAGAAGCACTTTCGACAACAAAAAGAAAGAACACTCAAAAGTAATTCAACATGAAACTCAAGTTAAACATAATAGATAGGAATGAAAATTCATGCTTGATGATGCTCCACTTATCAATTGGCTAAAAAATATATTATATAATAAGCCAATAATAAAAAACAATATACAAATATCAACAAAATGTCATGGACAAAAATAAAATAAATGAAATAAAATAAAAATAAAAAAAGAAGAAAGTAGTTATCAAAGTGAGCACATATGGGAGATAATAGATAAGGGCATATTTCAAACAAATCAAAGAGAAGGGGAGTAGTGAGAATTAACTTAAATCATGTTTGATTTAACTCCCTAGCCATCACTGCTCAAGCTTACAAATGTGATAACAATTACAAGAACATAGGCTTTCCTTGGGTAGAAGAAAGAAGAAGATGAACAAAGGACTTTTCTCTAGTTAGGCGTCCTCTCTCTTTCCCTAACCCAATTCATTGCCATGAAATAAGATGATAGAAAAGCTCTTTGCCTTGCCTCATTTTTCATCGAGAGATTCTGAGTGTCTTCCTCCAATCCTTACTCTTTTATTTATAGGCTCCACCTAGGGTTTTTCAATTTTTTATAATTTTTTTTAATTTCTCTCAATTATGACTCCTAATATAATTTTCTATTTAAGCACCAAATTATCATCAGATATTTTTATTTTTATTTTTTTTAATTTTTTCTACTATTATGACTCCAAAATATGTTTTTAAATTGAGGAGCCAATCAACTTAATTGAGAAATTTTTATTTTTATTTTATTACTTTTTTTATTTCCCTCTTTAATGTGTCCACCTCACATTTCCTAAATTAGAGACTAGTCAACATTCAATTTCATCTTTTGCTTGATTACCATTTATTGTGGGAAAGATGTTCTTATTTGATTTTTCATTTTTTTAGGGAGATTTTCAAACTTGCTCTCTAAGAATGAATCAAGAAGGATATTTATTTTATTATTATTTTTTTTATTGATTTCTTATTTATTAGATTTATTATTTTTTTGTGGGTTCAGACAAAATAGGGTGTTTACAATAAGACCCCAATATATTTTGTCTCCTAAATTTATAATCCATTTCCTAAACTCTCCTTACACATATTAAGAAGTATTCATCAAGAGGTAGTTTCTAATACAAATAACTAAAGGGGTATTTTAGAAAAATCAACACATTTTTTTTTTACAAATAACTAACTTAACTAATTTTCTTAATCATTACAAATTAGTTAACTAGTTCTTAAATTTAGGATTGAGGATAGTAGTTTAAGTGTGGTTGTGGGTTTTACGGTTGATGCTGATGATGTTTTGAATTCAATTTCCCTAAACCCATTTGTATGTTTGCATCAATATATGGTAATTATGAAACTTCATTCATACTAACTTTAAATTGTCCATCAAGACAAGCATTTTCACATTAGAAGAATACCCCTGTGGCTCCTTAATGCCATGCAAATATTGGTACAAGCTAGTTTTCTCTATTTTGGACAATGTGTGCGCTGCTGGTTCTAAATAAGCTCTCTTACTACCCTCTTTTAATTATGGATGTAACCATTTTCTTATTCCCATTTCAGCCAAGTCTAATTTCACATTGATTTCATCCTTATTTTTTCTTGGTATGTGTAAAAGTGTACTAATCAGGCTCTCATAAGCTTTTTTCCATGTGCATCACATCAAAACTGTATCTAATATCAAGATTACACCAATATGGAAGAAAAAAATGGACCTCTTCTTCCAAATGTTCTTCTCACCTACAATCTTCTTACTCTTCGAGAAAACGACATCAATTCTTTCCACTTTTCAATAAACTTCTTCTCCAGTTAAAGGTTTCGGAGTCATTCCATACTCTAGTGAGCCATTAAAAAACTTTTTTCAATCCACAGTATGCATAATCCTAATTTTTAATTTGAGGTATTAAGTAATTGAAATTGGAAGCTTGAGGCTTAAAAATACTAAGATTTATGGTTGGAGATCTTATCTCCAGACCTTATAATTTGTAGTCTTGGAATTTGAGTGTTTTTAAGGGTTAAATGATCTTACTTTTAAGTGGTCCCCTTTACATTGGAAAATAGACACCCCAAACTTTCTAAAGAGGCCTATTTTGTAATTTTTGAAGATTTATGGAGCTATTATGAATTTTTTTAAATTGGATCTTTTTGCTCTGTGTTTTTTGCTAGACATTCGCTATAGCAAACAACACATAATGCTCACTACATCATTTGCTAGACATTTGCTCTGTTTATTACAGCAAACAATACAAAGTATTTATTGTGACGTTC